TTTTATCTACATTTTTCTTATACCATAAAAGTTTATATTATAATCGCAATTAAATAATAAAAATTGCAAATAAACAATAAAACTTACAATTAAATAATAAAACTATTATATATAAAAGATTAACAATATCTAAATATATAATTTTCAATGTTTATTTATTATAAATTACTAATTTCAAAATTTAATACAATACACAAAATTTTTTTCATCTTTTATGTAACATAAAATTTAATAAACTATTTTTATAATTAAATAATGAAATAATTCTATCTAATTTAATACACAATCTATATTTTTTTTATCTAATACCAAAATATATTTTTACAATTAATATTAAAAAATAATCATCTAACTAAAACACAAATTAAACTAAACATAAATTCATGAGATTTAAACACAAATTAAACTAAACATATCAGATATCAAAAACAAAATTTAAGATTTAGCAATATTTTAATCTATCATTATAACAATTAAATACAAATTATATTTTCGAATTTTACTTTAAAATACATAATAATTAAAATTTTTTAAAATAAAAAAAAATCAGAAAACTCACTTGGGTAGATTAAAGACAAATATACTTGTAGATGCCTAGATTTAACAAAAAATACAGCAGATCTACAAAAAAAAAAAAACAGACAAACAAATCATAGGCTGTTGAAACAAAAAAAAAAATTGTTAGGCTGTGAAATAGAAAAAAAATACTTATAGATGCCCAGATCTAGTGAAAAACACAACAGATCTGGAAAAAAAAATTTAAATCATAGGCTATTGAAAAAAAAAACTTTCGTTAGGTTGTGGAAAAAAAAAAATACACCAGCGAGATCGTCGGCCACTAACCGGCGGGGAAAACGTTCTCTTCCTCTATGGTTGGCCAGAGATTGGAGGAGGAGAAGCTTGGGGCACAGACGAAGAACAAAGGAAGAAAAAACAGAGGAAAATCGCAGATGCAATGCAGAAGGGGAGAGGACGAGCGCCGTGAGGATGAAGGGCGTGGGGGACATTATACAGATCGATCCTTATCCGTATAAGTTTGAATAGTGGGACCCAACGTCTCATCGGTTCAAGGAATCTCTTACGCCTATTTTCAGACCGATTTCGGTCTAAATATAAATCACTATTCAAATTGGTAACAGTCCGTGAATTCAATGAATCTCGGGACGTTGCACATGATATATACAGACTGATTTTGGTCTGTATATCCTTATTTGAATAATATATTATTTCTATTTTTTGTTATTTAATATTTATTTTTTACCAAAAACTATTTGGACCAACTTCGGTCTGAATATTTATAAATATTCAAAC